TTTTTTTTTTTTTTTTTTTTTTTTTTTTGGTACTGTGGATCCAACTCAGGACCTCATGCATTCCAGGCAGACGCTGTGCCACTGAGCTAAATCCCCAGCCCAGCTTTTTTTTTTTAAACAAGGTCTTCCTATGCAGCTCAGGCTAGCCTTGAACTCACTGTGTAGCCCACCTTGGCCTCAAACTGGTGGTGATCCTTCCACCTCAGCATCCCTGCTGGGATTACAGATGTGCACCACCATACCCAGCAAATTTTTTAATTGTAAAGAGCATATAACAAAATTTGCTATCCTAACTATTTTTAAGTATACAGTATAGTATTAACTCACATTGTTGGGCAATAGATCTCCAGAATTTTTCTTCTTGCAAAACTGAAACTCAGTAGCTGTGCTTGGGGCTAACACCTATAATCCCAGTACATTGGGAGGCTGAGCCAGGAGGATCGAAGGTCAAGCCCGGCCTGAGCACTTTAGTGAAGTAGTGAGACCCTGTCTCCTTCCATTGGATCCTGGAACTCTGTCCATTGGACACTTGTCCTTCCATCTTCCTTCAGCTTCCCTATTCCCTGGTAACCACATTCTACTTCCTGTTTTCTAGTTTCACTATTTTGGATAACTTGTGTATGTGGATTTATCTAGTGTTTGTTGTTTTGTGACTGGTTTATTTCATGTAGCAAAATGACTTCACAGTTCATCCATCTTGTAGCATGTGGCAGGATTTCCTTATTTTTAAAGGTTTATTCCATTGTATTTATATACAGTATTTTCTTTATCACTTCAACTGTTGATGGACATTTAGGTTGCTTCCAGCCTCTTGGCTATTGTGAATAATTCTCTTCAAGATTCTGTTTTTAACTCTTGGAAATGCACCAGAAACTGGGTTGTAGTTCTAATTTTAAGCTTGTGAAGAACCTCCACAGTATTTTCCATAGCAGCTGCTCCATTTTACATTCTCACCAACAGAGTGCTAAGGTTCCCATTTCTCTACATCCTCTCCCATATGTACTATTTTCTTTGTTTACTTTTTTGATAGTGGCCATCCTAATGTGTGTCAGTGAACGACTCATGATTTTGATTTACATTTCTCTGATGATTAGTAATTTTTATCATCTTTTTATCTGTTTTTTGGCCATTTATATATCTTCCTTTGGAAAAATGTCCATTGAAGTCCTTCACCCATTTTTTAATCAGTTTGTTTTTGTTGTTGTTGATTTTGGTAGCAGATATATGGTATGCAGGTATTTTCTCCCATTGTGTAGCTGCCATTGGCTTTGTTAATTGTCTTAGCTGTGGTTTACATGTACCTGTCACACTTCATGTGTTGAAACTTTGTATCTAATGCAGCAGTGTTGGAGGATTGAACCCAATAACAAGATTAGGTCATAAGGGCTCTGTCTTTATGGATAAACTAATGTCATTTCAGTTGTGCAGTTAGTTACAGTGAGAATAGATTTGTTAAAAAAGCAGGTTTGGCTCTCGTTCACTCTCTTGCCCTCTTGTGCACCTCTCCCTTCTCTTCTGCAGTGATGCAGCATCAGCCCTCACCACCCACTGGCACCACCATAGCAACACAGCATAGATTAAGAAGTTTTCCTTTGCTGTGCAAAAGCTCTGTTTGTTTTCTTCCTTTTGTTAACTGTGTTTTTGGTGTCGTATTCAAAATTGATAATCCATTGTCATGAAGCCTTTTGTTTTCCTCTAGTAGTTCTGTAGTTTTAAGACTTACATAAAGGTCTTTCTGATTTTTGTATATGGTATAAGTTAAGGATCCAGTTTTGTTCTTAGCTCAGTGTTCATAAACAGGACATTTATTGAGAAGATGTCTCTTAGCCATTGTGTGATATCAGTGTCCTCTTGAAGATCATTTGACCATATATGCATGGATTTATTTCAGTGTTTTCTGTTCACTTCCTTGGGTCTTTATATGTCAGTACCACATAGTTTTGGTTACTATAGCTTTGTCATAGATTTTAAATTAGGAAGAATGAAGCTTCCAGCTTTGTCATTCTTTTTCTAGGTTGTTTTGAGTGTTCAGCATCCTTTAAAATTCCATGTCACGCTGGCTCACATCTATGAACCCAGCCCTCCAGAGGCTGGGGCAGGAGGAGGATCACTGTGAGTTTGAGGCCAGCCTGTGCTGCATATTGAGTTCAAGGACAGCCTGAACTACACTGTAAGACCCTGTCTCACAAAAATAAAAAAAAAAAAAAAAAAAAAAAAAAAAAAAGACTCCATATGAATGATAGTATTGTCATTCAGGCTGACCTCAAACTCCTGATCTCAGGTGATCCTTTTACCTCAGCCTCCTGAATGGCTGAGACTTAAGTAGATGCCACTATTGCTGCCACCATTGAGACTTTGAAGGGGATTGCATTGAATCTATAGATTGTTTTAGATGGTAACAGCTTTTTTGTTTGTTTGTTTGGTTTTGTTTTGTTTTGTTTTGTTTTTGGTACCGGGGATCGAACTCAGGTTCTTGTACTTGCTAGGCAGGCGCCAGAACCAGTGAGCTAAATCTCTGGCCCGGTAACAGATTTTTTAACCCGTCTAGTCCATGAACACAGGATATTTGTTTCTTTGTGTCCTTTTAAGGTTTTTTTTGCCATGTTTTGTAGTTTCCATGTGCAAGTCTTTTTCTCCACTTTGTTACATTGACTTCTAAATATTTTCTTTTTGATGGTATTATAAATTGGATAGTTTTCTCTATTTCCTCTTCACATCAATCATTGTTCTATAGAAACAATCTGATAGTTGTATATTTATTTTTGTCTTTGGAACTTTGCTGATTTCCTGTATTGTTTCTAAGAGTTCTCTGTGCTATTTTTAGGCTGTTTATAAACGCACGTGTATGTATGTGTATAAATATGATCTGTGAACAGAAGTGATTTTACTTCTTCCTAATTTGGATGCCTTTTATTTCTTTTCCTTCTCACATTTACTCAGGCTAGGACTTCCTTTACTAGGTTGAGAAGGGGTGAGAGTGGCACCTTTCCTTTCTAATCTTCAAGGAACAGCTTTTAACTTTTCATGCTTGAATATTAGCTGTGAGCTCTTAATATTTGACCTCTTTTGTGTGTGTGTGTGTGTGTGGTAGCAGGGATCGAATTTAGGACCTTGTGCTTACAAGGTAGGCATGGTATTACTAAGCTAAATATTTGACCTCTACTATGTTGGGATAGTTTCCTTTTGTTTTAATCCTATTTCTTCTAATGAAGCTGAACACTACTCACTGGATAATTTTTAAGCAGTAGGAATTTATGTACTGCAGTGCTGGAGGCTGGAGGTCTGTGATCAAGGTCCCAGCAGGTTCGGTGATATAAGGGCCTGGACTTTGCTTCCAAGAAGGTGTCTTGTTTCTGTGTCCTCCAGAGGGAACAGAGGTAGTGCCTTCACATGGCAAAGGGGCAAAAGTACTCCCTGATTTCCACCTGCCCTTTAGGGTGTTGTTAACTCCACTCATGAGGGTTCTGCCCTCTTGATTTATTCATCTTGAAAGCCCAGTGTGGACATACACTGCTATAATTCCAGCACCCTGGAAGGCCAAGGCAAGAGGATAGAAAGTTCAAGCTCTGCCTGGGCAACTTAGCTATGTAGTGAAACTCTGTATCAGTTAGTGTTTACTAGAGAAACAGATATAACACAAGATACACAAATTTATAAGATTGGCTTGCAGTGGCTACCGACGGAGTCTGAGTCTGATGAGGAAGAGTGCAGAGGGTCTGTCTACACACTGGCGACTGAAAGATCCAGTCAAAGGTCTGGATCTCACTGCATTGTCCTGTGTGAGTCTGTATTTGGAGGTTGAGGGTCTGCGAAGGCAGATAAAAAGTCAGTGCTGGAAGCCAGGGGCTGATGAACAAGCTGAAGGTGAAGATTTTCCTCTAAAGAAACAGAAGCACATCCATCCTTTTCATTTTCCCTTCATATCATCCAAGAGACAAGCTGCTCTAGTGTGGGTTTTCCACACTCCAGGGTGTGGAATTGCTGAGCTAATTTAGTTGACCTTCTCTTACTTAAGTTGACACAGTCAACCATCACAGACTCCATCTCAAAAAAGTAAAAAATAGAAAGGGGCTATATCTGAGTGCAGTGGTCCTGGGTTGAATCCCTAGGACTGGAAGAAAAAGCTCCACTTTTAATGCTGTCATATTGGGATTTAAGTTCCAACTACAAGTTTTGAAGGGGACTCCATAAACTTTTTAATTTCTTGCCTTTTTTTTTTTTTTTTTTTGGGCAGTCCTGGGATTCAACCCTAGGCCTTGCCCTAAACTACATCCCAGCTCTCTTTTTTTCTTAAACTTATACTTTTTGGGCGGGGGATATTTAGCTCAGTGGTTCCAGTGCCTGCCTCATAAGTGCAAGGGCCCGAGTTCGATCCCTGGTACCAAAAAAAAAAAAAAACTTTTACTTTTTGGCAGAGCCTTGCTAATTTGACCATCATGGCCTCAAATTTGAGATCATCCCTCCTCAGTCTGCCAAGTAGCTGGGTTTACAGGTGTGTGCCACCAGGCACAGCTAGTAGAATGTTCTTTCCTTGGACTTCAAGTACAGTACTAATTCTGAAGACAGCCATTGCTAATACACCCTAACTATTAATGAGCAAAGAAAAAAACATTTACTTTATATGTAATATACATCTAACAAACATTTAATAAAACCATAGCATGCATAGGTGCTTGGCTTGTATCTTTATAAACAGAGGAAAGAAAGTGAGAGAGACTTCTGTAGTCCTTGTACTAAACATTACAGAATAAGAAAACCAAACTAGTTCTGTGTTCCTTTCTCTGTATTTTATTTTATTTATTTATTTATATTTTTTGGTACCAGGGAACGAACTCAGGTCCTTGCGCTTGCGAAGCAGGCACTAGAACCACGGTCCTAAATCTCTTGTCTTTATTTTATATGAACCCATTGATATTTATTGTCTACTTCCTATATACAAGGCACACAGTAGACAGTATATTCCACCAAGTAGGTGGGTTGCAGAGGTGCATGATAGTAACTGAAGCCTGGAATTAAACTGGAACCATGGGAGAGGGAGAGTGAAACAGCTAATTTCTTTCTTTCTTTTTTGGTACTGGGGAGAGAACTCAGGACCTTGTGCTTGTGAGGCAGGCGCAGAACCATTGAGCTAAATCCCTGGCCTGGAATCAGCTAATTTCACCTACATTGGTGACTGTTTATACCACAGTTCTGTTCCTTTGTGAGTTTATAATCATGTTTTCCAGCCATCTCCTTGTGATGAAAAATGGTCTTATTTGTTCTTTCGCAGTTTGGGGGCAAGCTGGTTACCTTTGAGGGTGTTAAAACACAGCCTTCCCAAGGAGCTGAACAGCAGCAGCAGCACCACCATGTGTTCATCAGCCAGGTGGTGACAGAAAAGGAGTTCCTGAGTCGCTCAGACCAGTTGCAGCAGGTCGTACAGTCGCAAGGGTTCATCAGTTACTGCCAGAAAAAGATTGATGCCTCTCAGACAGAATTTGAGAAAAATGTGTGGTCCTTTCTGAAGGTATGTTGGTACTTAAAATCATTTCGTTTATTATCTGTAAATGTAACTCTGTCTGTTATATTTTGAATCTTTCTATTAAATAATTATAAATGTATGATTTCAGAAATTCATGAAATTTAAGAAATGTTATAAAAACCACACAACCTGATTTCTTATGTCAAGGCTTTTTCCTTCTCTATTTTGACAAACTTAATATAAAGTAATTTTTAATAAGTAAAAAATAGCACAGCAGATACAGTATGTTTAAGGGAGAGAACCTGTCTTCAAACTAGAACACAAGGGTGACTGCATTAAAAACACAAAGTGTATTTTGATTGTTTGTTTGTTTTTTTGGTACCAGGGATTGAACTCGGGTCCTTGGGCTTGCAAGGCAGGCCACCGAACCGCTGAGCTAAATCGCCGGCTTGTCACACAAAGTGTTTAATACCTGTATTAAAGCTGCTTAAGACAGTTGGGAAATGAGAAGAAGCATGGAGTTGAGGTTGGAGGTATTTTCTTCCCGCCATTAAAGAATTTAGAGGGGAGAAAATACATTCTCACTCAACTGCATTTTGCGGGGGTGGGTACTGGGGATCGAACTCAGGACCTTGTGTTTGCAAGGCGGGTGGTGGCACCACTGAGCTAACTCCCCAGCCCTGCATTTTCAACAATAGGATTTTTCTGGTTGGTCATTTCTGTCTCCACTGTAATGTCTATTTCTTGACACCGAATTTTCCAAGAAAAGCAATCTTGAATACAATATGGTTAAATTCTAAAGTTGTAGAATTTATATTTTGTAATTAAATATGAAATTTGAGAGAGTGTTTTAGAATATAAAGTGTTTCAGATAAGCCCTGCATACGTACATCCTTTGGATGTTGGTTTGTATTGCCAAAATTATAGTTTGAAAGGAAGCTTTATTCAACCAGAATAATTAGTTAACTAGTATACTTACTATTTAAAAAAAACTAGTTAAGAAACTGTTCTTTGGTTTCTTTTCAGATGTAAATGTTACTATTTTCAAGTGGTGAATCATTTCAAATGGTGAATCTTCAGGATAATATAGTAGATTTTAGATATTTTAAATAATTTTATTTGGAATTCATTGACAAAGAATTAGGCTTATATATATATATTTATTTATTTATTTTTTTAAGGTAAACTTTGAGGATGATTCTCGTGGAAAATATCTTGAGCTTCTAGGATTCAGAAAAGAAGATCTAGGAAAAAAGGTAAACTATCCCCAGTAAATAGTCATTTAATAAGAATTTGTAGCTGGTGAAATAGTATATCACTGCGACCCTAGCACTTGGGAGGCTGAGGAGAATTTCAAATTTAAGGCCGTCTTGGGTTATATAGCAAATTTGAGGCCAGTCTGGACTACATAGAGAGACCCTGTCCTGTCTCAAAAAAATAAATCAGGGGTGGGGAGAGACACTGGAGATGTCCTGGGTTAAATCTCCAGTCCCACCTCCCCACAATAATTTGTGTTTGGCTACCATACATATTATTAAACTCTACGTTATACCTGGATTTAGAAGCTACCAGAACTATCTTGCATTCAGACTTGATTGTTTGAACAATTGGGCCTTGAAAGACAGGGTGCCACAGCACCATCAAGTATTCAAATACTGACAGCAATAGTGTGTGTGGCTTTCTAGGGAAAAAGAGAAAGAAACATTAGTGTTAGGTTAGGTGATGAAAAACAGGGTTCTATTCCACCTCACTGTTCTGATGCCCAGACTGTATCTCGATCTAGCTGTGTATTGGTCTAGCTCACAAGTAACTGATAAATATCTTGAAATAGGAGTAATTTATTCTGCCTCACCCAAGTAAAAAGTCCAGGTGGTTTGTTTAACAGTTTAACTTTAAAAATAGAAGGTTCCCTCTTAAAAAGAATAAATCATGTTGCAGTTTGTAGTGTTCATGTCAAACAGTGGCTTACTATTTTTCCACAGTGGTAACATCAGTTTCAGTTTTTTTAAAAACAGAGGAAACCTCGAGGGCAATAATTTAGATTACATTTTTCTCTGCCGTTACACGGTGCCTGTGTCAGTGGTGTGGACTGGGTGCCTGCACTGTAGGGGCAGATGGGTGTTAAGATCCCATCGTACCCACTGCTTAGGGCTGTGTGTCTTTCCTTACCCTTTACGGTCATTACACTTTCTTACTATCAGCATGAATTGGTTGATGCTATGACTTGCAAATTTGCAAGCATTTAATATGGAAATTTACTGATGCCTGGTAAGAAATAGAATCTGGTTGTCAAAATACTTCTCATCGCAGCTTTTTCCATAGTGAGTACCTGAAAAAAATGCTTCCAAACATTAATTTTAGTTTTTTTAAAAATTAGAAAGTAACCAACTATAAATAAATGCAGCATATGTGAAAGAAAAAATAAGTACCATCTACCATAATTTAGCCAGGGAAACTATTTTTGTCATTGTTGAAATGGATATACAGTAGCCTTGTCTTTGTATATGTTTATGATTAAATATTGAACATGAAGAAAATAAAAAATTAATAAATAAATATAGCTTTTTATTTTGAATTTTGTTGTTTGTTTGTTTTTTGTTTTTTTTGAGACAGGGTCTTGTCTCACTATGTAGTTGAGACTGACCTGGAACTCACTATGTAGCCCAGGCTGGTCTCGAACTCGCAGCAATCCTCCTGCCTCAGACTCCTGAGTGTTGGGATTACAGGCATGCGTCACCACACCCGACTGTTGGTTTGTTTTTTGAGGCAAGGTCTCCCTATGTAATTCAGGCCAACCTTGAATTAACTATGTAGCCCCAGGCTGGCCTCAGACTCTAGGCCAGTGGTAGCCAACCTATGGCATGCATGTTATTTGTTTATAAGACACAGGATGGGCTGGGGATTTAGCTCAGTGGTTCTGGCACCTGCTTCGAAAGTGCAAGGATCCAAGTTCGATCCCCAGTACCAAAAAACAAAAAATTTAGGGCTGGGGATTTGGCTCAGTGGTTCCACTGCCTGCCTTGCAAGCACAAGGGCCCTAGTTCAGTCCCTGGTACCACCAAAAAAAAAAAAAAAGACACAGAATGTTAATGTATGAATTGTTCTTTCTAAATCAAGACTTCAGTATTCAGGTTTAATTGCAGTGTTGGCAATCCTCCTGCTTCAGCCTCCCTAGTACTGGAATTATAGTCATGCACCGTTACACCCAACTCTGTAGCTTTGTATTTTGACAAAAGCGTAGAAGGAAAATATTTGTTTTGAGGTCAGTTTTATGACTGAACAGCAGAACAGGAACCTGTGAGTGACACTAGAGCTGCTGCACAGATGCTGTTTTCTATCGCACACGCTGTCCCTGATAAGGACTTTTGTGGGCTTTTGCCAACAAGAATGGATTGTGAGGTGAACATCTGCTATATGCCCTGAAGTACAATTCCATTGAGTAGGTAAGTTGCCATTTTCTTTTCAGATTGCTTTGGCCCTGAACAAAGTGGATGGATCCAACGTGGTAAGATCTTAAAATCAGCTACCTTCTAACATTTTGAGTAGATCACAACAAAGAAGGAAGTGTGATCTAAGAAGTTATCATCTGTTTTGTGCTTCATAGTATAAAAGTGTTGATTCTTAATATTTTACTAAGTTCATAATTCTATTTTAAAATAGCCTAAGTTTCACTGGCATAGCATTCCTTTCTTTTAGCATATTTGAGTGTTGTAAGAGAGGAATAATGGATGCAATGACTCTTTAAGAGAAAGCTTTTTCATGCTGGGTGGCATTTGATAGAAAAGAAGGAGACGAAGGTGTTACAGTAATTGCTCTTTACCTCTCCTTTAACGTTTCTCAAATAAATTTACCCAGTGTTGCTGCTTATGATCAAAGTGGATGTTGGTTGGGTCTTTTGTCTCCCTTGTTACTAATAACCTTTTAATTCTGCATTCTTCAACTTCCTCTGTAATCATTTTGTATACCAAAGGCCCTTAGAGACTCTGACCAAGTAGCACAGAGTGATGGGGAGGAGAGCTCTGCTGCTGAAGAGCAGCTCTTGGGAGAGGTACTTACTCTTTTTCATATTACATTGGACAAATATATGATAATTGTGTATCCACATTGAAATATGGAAATTTTTCTTGACAATTTGTTGCAAAATAAAGTTGGAATGTATTGTTTTTTTAGATATGTTTAGAGTTGGAATCTCTTTACCTAGATTGACAGACACACCCTCTCTGAACTCTAGTTCTCTAACCTGGCTTCTGGAGTATATGCTTTAAAAATTAGCAGCTGCTGTGAGATTGACTGCACTTGCCTAGAGGGCTATTTTATTCAAAAATCCACCTTCATTGCATGCAATGTTTTTTCTTGGCACATTAATATTTAGGTCCCAATATCAGTGACATAGCCCTCCGAATTAGGCATTTACTTGGAGCCCAAGGAGAAAATATTTCACTAGCTCAGCATGGTGGCACATGCCTATAATTCCAGCTGCTTGAGAGGCTGAGGCAGGAGGGTGGCAAGAAGCCAGCCTGAGGTACTTGTTGAGACTCTGGCTCCAAATGATGAATTAAGAAAAGGGGCTTAGGATGTAGTTCATTTTGAGGCCCTGGGTTCAACTCACAGTATTGAAAAAAAATTTTTTTTTTCTCTAAACTAAATGGTTGTCATTTTACTATAAATATTTCCTTTGTTGTACTTGGTAATTTCTGTAACTAATCAGAAAGAGTCATTGAACACAGTTATATAATTAATTTTTTTCCTTTTGATTTTCTGGTATTTTTTTTAAAACCACTAATATCTAATTCTGTAATTTACTTTTCTTGCTTTCTAATTTTATCTTGGAAGATCATCAGAAAGTTCTTGATTTTGCCTTTAACTTTTTCATAGTCCTCTGTGATTTGGTGATATCCTAACTGGAATGTTCTGCATAATCATTTACTAAGCTGTAAAAGCATTTCACCCATATATTTAGACTACTGTAGTGGTTATTAAAATTTTTCCTTAGAAGTAGATGTCCTAGCATTTACCTAACAAGGAAATAAATCTTAATAAAAACATGAACCAATTTTAGGAACACATAGAAGTAGACACATAAATACTGGGCTTTTACATTTATGTACAACTAGATTAACTACACATTATCAAATAAAAGACCATTTTGGAATACACTCATGAATTAATAGTAGTAAATAGTAGTCACTAGTGTATACTTTGAGTACTTGAAAAAATTGTTTCAAGGAGGTAAAATCTCTTGATTATATAGTTCGATTATCAAAAATTGTAGCTTACACATTGAAGATTTTGAACACAGAAAAATTGTGCATTTGGGCTTTATGTTTAAGAAGTGTATAAAGGTGTATTCATTGTAGAAAGCAAATTTGATAGTGAGTTAAAGGATTTTTCTGTGAATTTTGACAGTTAATAAACATGACAGTGAATATAACTAAAATTTTCAGTGTTTTCAAGTTTTTAGATTCCAAAATGTATCTCATTAATTGAGGAGAAGCAATTAGGACTATAGTTATTCTTCTGTAACAGTTATCACTAGCTGTGCTGTACTCTACTTGAATGACTCTGCTCCAAGCCCCTTTGAATACTAGCCACTTACATTCAAACATGTAGATAACACAAGCATATAAGGTAGATAGTTTAATCTCCTGTAGAGATTGGTGTCTTTGTTTAAAAAGATTTAGAATATTTGTATAGACTAAAAGTTTAGCATCCCTAGTGTAAAATCTACTAAAATTGGTTCAGATTTAGACCATTGTAGAATTCAGATTTTTTTGAATTAGAAATGCTTAAGCTGTAATCTCAGAAATTTATAAAAGAATTGTATATATTTTTATCAGACCGACCTATTCCAGATATGACTAATTTGAGAGAATATGAAATGTGTCATTGAATTTGAGTATATTTAAAAATACTCCAATCTAGAAATAATCGATTTGTATTGCTTTAGTGAGGGAAGCATCTAGAAATCGAACCCAGGGCCTTGCACATACTACTTAAACAAGCATCCCTGCCTCCTATTATCCTTTTGTACCTAGGACACCAAGTAATTTTTTTTTTTTTAAGGATTCATTTATAACTAAAAGATCTCATAACCAAGACTTAGATTTTTAGATGTTAGAAGTAGGATTGTTTAAAAATATAATTTAAAACATGAATATTTTACATTTCTCAACCTGCTTGTAGTTGCGAATCTAGATTCTTTAGTTTCAATAATAACTTTTCAAATATTGTACCTATAAAGGATATGCATACTTGTTTGTTTTACATTATTTCTTATGGTCTTGGATTCTGTTTATGAATGCATGATGGAAATTAATACTTAAGGAAATCATTAATCTGAGTATAAATTTGGAGATGAGGACTTTTCTGAAATAGCATATCATCAAGTTAGTAGGTGAACAATCATATACAAATTTTATTTTGGTAGTAAGTTTCATTTTCTGAAATAGCATATCATCAAGTTAGTAGGTGAACAATCATATACAAATTTTATTTTGGTAGTAAGTTTCATTTTAGCTAAATTGCTGCCTTTTCCATCTTCTTAGTGTATTAAAGAAGAAAAGCAAGAATCTGAATTTCTGCCTTCAGCTGGAGGAACATTTAACATCTCTGTCAATGGGGGTATGTGTTGGCTTTGATTTTTAAACTTTTAAAAACTATTTGAAAGTGAATAGCCCCAGTTACAAATATTTTGTTAGAGATAATTGAAAGTTGAGAAGGAACTGAATTACCTTGTACTATATGTAATTAGTGCCTTTAGAGGGGTGGTGTGTTCTGATGCCTAAGTCATCAATGTTCATGTAAGTATTCAGCAAATAGTTTTATTTTATATGTACTTTAGTATGTATTTCCATAGATCTCTTCTATAAATACTAACAGCTTGTGTCATAAATTGAATAATCAGAAGTTAACATTGTGTTCTCTATTTGTATCTGTGTATAAAAACTTACGTGTATAGATTTTTTGTTGTAGTTGTTTTTGATGACAGAAACCTCTGTTGGACTTTGTTGTATTTTTTCTTGTTACAGATATTGATGGTTTAATTACTCAGGCTTTGCTGACGGGTAATTTTGAGAGTGCTGTTGACCTTTGTTTACATGATAACCGCATGGCTGATGCCATTATATTGGCTATAGCAGGAGGACAGGAACTCTTGGCTCGGACTCAGAAAAAATACTTTGCAAAATCCCAAAGCAAAATTACTAGGGTATGTTTTTTATTTATTTATTTTTTCTTTCTTTTTTGGTACTGGGGATCAAACTCAGGACCTTACACTTGGGAAGCAGGCAGTGGAACCACTGAGCTAAATCTCCAGCCCCTGTTATTTTCAGAATAGATAAATCATACGTTATCTTTCTGATTACAAAAGTAATACATGTTATTATAGATCATTGGGATGTAGAGAACACTAAAGAATTTACCTATTCATAACACTGACTCAGAAATAGTTATTGACACTGATGTGATTCATCCAGTTTTTATTGTTTCTATATTTAATTTTAAAAATTAAAATTATTTTCATATTAAAGATTTAACACAAAAAAATTTTTAACAGAAAATTTTAAAGATAAAAATGTTAGCTACCTGTAATCCTGCCAATAGTCTGGTACATGTCTTTCCATATCTCTTTCTACATATTTGTAGAATTTTTTCTGACAGTCACAATCATATATATGATGTGTGTTTTTGTTTATGCTGTCATTTACATTGATTTTTCCATGTCATTAAAAACTCAAAAGATTGTAATTATTTTATAATATTTTATGATGAGGATGTATTTCTCATATATTTTGGGTCTTTAAATATCCTTCTTTCCTCCCTTCCTTCCTTCCTTCCTTCCTTCCTTGTACCGGGGATCGAACTTGGGTCCTTGTGCTTTCGAGGCAGGCACCGAACCACTGAGCTAAATCCCCAGCCCTAAATATATACTTTTTTTTTTTTTTTTTTTTTTTTTTTTGAGACGGTCTCACTATGTAGTTGAGACTAATCTGGAACTCACTAGCCCAGATTGGTCTTGAACTCACAGCGATCCTCCTGCCTCAGCCTCCTGAGTGCTGGGATTACAGGTGTGTGCCACCATGCCCGGCCCTAAATATACTCTTAATAGTTTCCTCATATAGTTGAACACCATTGCATATACTGTGATAAAAATCTGTTATACCTAAGGATTTGTGCAGATTTCTAACTATCCCATAATAGTAGGAGGGGAATTTCTGGTACAGAGGGTTTGAACACTTGTGAGCTTCCTATTGATATTTTCAGTATCATAAAAAAGTAATTTTTAGTGGCAGTTACTTTCTGTAAAAGTTATACCGGTGTTGGTCCCACCAGCATTGGTTGCTGTCGGTCTCCCCTCCTCAGCCAGATGCCCCTCTCTCTATCAGAGCTCATGTCTTTTCTCCCTGTGACGGGCTGCCTTTTGGCTCCTAACCCACTCTTAGGTTCCATCCTCCTTTGAACCTTGTGTCCCCTTAGCTTAGAATGCTTTTTCCTTCTCTCTGTTCAAATCTCTGTGCAGAAGTCCCTATGTTGAAACAGCTTCTTGACGTACTAAACCAGGTCACATATTCCTGTTAAATGTTCTGCTAGCCTCCTGAACTTTTCCTCATCAGTTTGAAAAATATGTTGGTGTGGCTTTCTTAAGGAAAAGTAAAACCATCTGTTATGTCATTTGTTCAAGAAAATACTTTACTTTTTGGTGCTTTATTTGTTATGAAGTGCTCTTAGTTTTGAAAGTAATGATTCATTAGCCTAAGTTAATTTTTATTATATAATAAAGACTTTTAATTATCCTTTTGTTTTCTTTTCCTAAGCTCATCACTGCAGTTGTAATGAAGAACTGGAAAGACATTGTTGAGTCTTGTGACCTTAAAAATTGGAGAGAGGCTTTAGCTGCAGTGTTGACTTATGCTAAACCAAATGAATTTCCATCATTGTGTGGTGAGAAATGAGCTTTGCACTGAACTACTTTACGTGGTATATTATAAATAACATTAATGACAAGCTTTATTAGAAATGTTTTGTAATTGCACTGACAAATAGGAATTGGGCTGGGGATGTAGCTCAGTAGCACAGCGCCTGCCTGGCAAGCAAGAAGTCCTTAGTTTGATCCCTGGTACCAAAAATAAAAATAAAAATATATTACTCCTTAAAAATTAAAAAAAATTTTGTTTTTGTTTTTGGTGTTTTGTTTGTTTTGTTTTGTTTTTTGAGACAGGGTCTCACTTACGTAGTTGAGACTGACCTGGAACTCATTTGAAGCCCAGGCTGGTCTCGAACTCACGGTGATCCTCCTGCCTCAGCCTCCTGAGTGCTGGGATTGCAGGCTCTTAAGCTGGTTTCAAACATAACGAAGTTGGAAGTTTACTGCTGCCACTTAACTTGCTGATAATCTAGGAAAAATTATTTTCTAAGCCTCAGTTTATCCATCTTTAAAATGGCACATAGGCACCTCAATACGTGTTTACTCTGATGTAATTAACAATTGTATTTGATTAAAAATTGCCATTAGAGGCCATGACTAAATTGATGGTTAAGGAATAAATGTTATATGCAATAAAAGAAGTTTAAGGGTGATTGTATATGAGCCAACAATCATTTGCTACCTTCAAAAGAATTAGAATACAAAATGTTGCAGAATATTAACTATTTTCATAAGTAATTTTTTTTTTTTAAATTCTCGGAACCTCCTGCCTCAGCCTCCCTAGTGCTGGGATGACAGGTGTGCTCCACCATGCCCAGCTTTTCTTCACTTGAGATCCTTCTGCTTGATGTTCACTGTGTGAGGGGCATCTCAGTCCCATGATGTTTCCCACATGAGCTCATATGCAGGAGTTGATTTTTTTTTTTTTTTT